ATCGGATATGGGCTTCCTGTAGATTTGTGCATTCATAAAATTGTTTTGATGCCGTGTCTTATTTATCACGTGACAAAAAATGATTGACGGAAAGAGATATGACAGCATTAATAAGCTTGAATGCCAAGGGAACTCAGAATCATTGTACTATGGTTTGAACTGAAATGTTTATTAATAAGAAAAAATAATATTTATCACTTTAGTTACTAAATATTTCAAAATTTTATTAGATAAAACAATACAGGACCTGATAATTTTTGCTTAGTAATGATTGACTGCTTTAGCTTGGGTATGTTGTTTCATTTCAGACCACATGCCATTCCCTTGAGCATCATGCCTTTGTTAGTTTAATAGTTGTCCATGAGAAGACACAATTTATGAATATGGATAGATCTTAAACAAAGAATCTTATCCTCAAGAGAATGACACTTTGTCGGAAATGGGAAAATATCACAGCCATGTTAAAGAAGTCTATTCTTAGACATTTTCATTCAAATCAGATTCAGTCTGCAGTCTGTTTGTTAAAGGCTAATCCAGCGATCATGCAGTCAGCTCCAATAACTGAAAGACAGCATATGATGTGCATAGGTCTGAGGTGATTGCATCAAAGGTATATAAATTAGAAGCTTAATGACCAGTAGATCACAAAATTGTTCATAAAATACAACATTGTGAACATATGTACAGCTTAATATAGCTTTAATTTAGCTATACTGACCATGTTCCAACTCTTTTATGTAGGTTCCAAACCATTCGACTACTTTTTCCTTTAAAGGCAAGCTTCCATGTTGGTCTGCGGCTATAACATCTATAACTTGGTTTGCTGTGTAGGTGATATCAGATGTCAATGGAAATACCAGTTTCATGCAATGTTCATTTGCCATCAATAATTCTGTAAGACATACTGAATCTAGTCCCTTCCTTATGTCTTCAATTTCATCCCTTCTGACCTTGAAAACTTGATGAAGCAAGATATGTTGCACTGCTCTACCTCTACTTTTCAATGTAAGAAGTTCATTGGCAAATCCTGCTTGAGTCAGAAGAAACTGAATATCATCTCTTGCCTCAATATTACTAAGGGTCTCTTCATCTTCTGCCTTTTCCAACTACATTAAAAGATTTTAAACATTTAACATGAACTTAAATGAATTTTGTAAAATGAATTTCCTAAAGATTTGTAAATCATAAGTACACACCTCCTACACATTTGCACTGTAAGGTCTGGAACATCTGATAATGTAATTTCAGACAGGGCCTCATCTATGTTCCCACTAACTAGGTAGTAGGCTAGTGCCCGTGACATGCCCGTGACAGCAGACAAAGCACAATGTTGTTATTCAGGGAGCTAACCACCATCGCCAAAGGTGAGAGCATCTAGAGAAGTTAGGGGTATGTCTCACACTCCCTCCCCCAAGAAAAACTTTAATCCAAAATGGCATCAAAATTAATAGAAGACTATAGCCCAGCCCGCTAGCTCCACAGTCCCTGTAGTACATAGAGAATATGGTACTAGTATATGGTAGTACATGTCAGTACATGGTAGTGCATGATAGCACATTGCAGTATATAGTAGTGCATGAGTGATAGTATGGGTATGGTACAAATGGTAGACCATGGCAGTGCATTATAGTTAGCTGTACTATTTTCTATCATACAAAAAGAAATAGAAACAAAAAAGAACACAGTTTAAGTAAAAACACTCTATTGACAGAAAAATCAATTCCATGAAAAGGAGGTTTGTTCTTTATATTTTTTAATCATTTGGGAAGATCTCTATTTTTCAAATCAGTTCACATTTTACACCCCAAAATTATGGAGTATCCCCAATTTCTAATCAGTACCCCCTAACAAATTAGGGGGCCGATCAATGCTCTCTTACAATCATGGTTTATATCATTTGTAGTTAATTAGATTTTCTTCAAACTTTCATCAAACTTAGCAATATTAACCTGCAATACATTTGTAGATACAGTAAGAGAATAACTAGTAGCTTACCTCTTTCATTTGTGCTGTTGGAACTGTCAAGAATGGTATTTATGACTTCATCCAAAGTATTCACTGACTTGGCAATATTTTCAATCTCTTCCTTAGGTTTATTTGTGAATATTTATTGAAGGTTTCTGATTATTCTCTCTGTGTTTTCTGGGATCACAGTATCACATGGTAAAGCATTGTCTTGATCCTCCATTGGTTCTGCAGGTGTTGGATGTTGCTGTTCTTCTTCTTTTGTAAGACAATCCTACAAGTTATGTATCAGAATATATATTATTAAAGCCATTGTTTACTAGTTTGTACCTTAATTATAATAACCAGGATCACTTAAAGTAAATTTACCTTATTCCAAATACATAGCTCTTTGGAAGCCCTTAAATATATAGGGCCTTGACCAGCAATGTGTTTTAGAATGTCACCTGACACCTCTGTTTCATGAATGTTTAGTGCAGTAATATGTCCTCCACAGGATTTTACAAATGAGAAGCTGCAAAAAATATTAAAAATTATTATTTTCTTGTTCACACGTGATAAATCAAATAACAAGCACCATATTACTTTATTTAAGCTTTTTCTTCAATTTTTGTTTACTGGCAAATTAATTATCAAGCAAGCTTAGCTAAATCTAGTAAAAAAAGTAAGATTTAAGCTTACTTTATCTAAATAATACTTAAATCTTCTTTGTCACTCAACTGAAACTTGATTCTCTCAAAACTAGTAAAAAGTTCTTCCAAAGATGTAAAAGACATTAAGCTTATATTAAGTTTCTCAGAAAATAATTTTTTATATGGGGACAAAAATAAAAACTTTTAATTAGTTTTGAGAGAATGTAGGAGAATAAGTTTTAGAAAAAACAAAAACAAAAAAAGTTATAAAAATTAAAAAAATAACAAAACAAAAATTTTAAAACTAACTAAAAAGTTATTTCGTGTCTATCAAAAGGTGCTCAAACAAAGAAAGAATTCAATAAATATTCTAAAAGAATCCTAAGTAAATCCGTCACACTAATGTAGGGAATCTGAAGTCACAATAACAACCCAATACAAGGATTGTTATGATATTATTAACAATGAATAATTTAAATATATTATAACGATATACTTGTATTTGGATACCATTTATTAGGACTGAAATAAATATTTGACTCGTAAATTGATTGCAAACAACAAAACCCTAATTTCAAAACTTTTTATTAAAATGATCAACATTCATGATCAACATTAACAGCTAGCAGAAGTGCCATGTATTGGTCAACTTAAATATAAAATTGCAACGTGCATGTACTAGTAATTTCTAATGATTTCATTTGTTGAAATTTTACGCAGCCAATATTTGATGTGCAAGTGGCATGGKTGATGATTGTAATGCTGTACAAATACCCAAGAATGTTGCACATGAGCATCAAATATTGCCCAATGTAAATACTCAGAAGTTAAACAACAATTAATATCAACACTTTTTCGACTCAAATAACATGCACAGACCTATTAGCATGCAAATGTGTTCAGAAAATATAATGGCATTTCACTAGTGGCTAATTCGAACAAGCTAAATTTCTCAAACTATTTCTAAAGCTGAAGCAAATAATAAATTAAGCTGTCAGAAGATATGAGGAACCTAACAGAGACAAGTGCACAATTCAAGTGTCTACCTCACAGCAGTGAAATTTCCTTTAACACTTTTACATCATTAATAGACGTTGTCTGAGACAGTGATGTTTTAAATTCTATGTATTTTTGACTGACAGATTTTCTAATAAGTACCGATATTATCTGAACAGGTGAGAGAGACGTTAAGGCATTGCTTTTGGCAAGGAATTTCTTTTTCAGTACATCAGCACACTCGTCTCTGGTGATATATTTACCAAACTCTGATTTAATCAACGCTCTCCTCATTTTTAAAGGTAGAGCTTCAACTCGATACACTTCTTTTGCATCTTCTGGGCTTGAAGTGCTAGTAGCAGCAGTAAGGGGGACTCGCGAAATCCGAATCACTAAGCATCGAATTTCACGGGTATTACCTGCGTTTCAGGCCCCTCTAAATGTATGCGTCGGCAGCGGGTATTACCCACGCGATGATTCCCTTACTGCTGCTGTGTTTGCGAAATCTATGTATTAAGTTAAAATATTCGTCTTATATACGATGCACGAATGTAAAGAGTTTGTTTGTCCGAGGTGTAATGGGAGTTTCATAAAGTGTGGCCTGATTTCCCATCTACGCAGGAAGGATCCCTGTGAGATTGTGACGACTTGTACGACAACGCGCGAGGAATACGTAAAGGAGTTGACAAGAAAGCCCGCGGTTCCCAAACCTGCTTTTAGACGTCGTCCTATGAAATATTGGATGCGTCCGCGTAGGGTCGTAAACGAAGGTTAAAATATTTCCTCGATATAGATGGACAACATCGCGCGCATTCAAAACAAAACTGTACGCAAGCTGCGAACCCAGGTATTGGATCGTTTGGACGCCGACCTCGCCTTCACGACATTCACAGAAGGAGACACAGAAGAAATCATGGATGAAGAAAGAGCCGAAAAGATAATAGACCTGATGCCTGAAGGTAACTACCGTTTACAGTTAA